TGTAATGTTATCTTATAGTACTTCAGTGATCCAAAGACCTGTCCCATCTTTGATTATTCTGTCTGTCCTATAATAGAGTTTATTCAGTCCCGTATAGTGTGTTATACACTGAGATTATATCAGCTATATTCCTGTTTCAAGGAATTCCATTGCAAAATCTGTTAATTTTTGCAGCAGCAAATTACACCATTTCCCACATATTACATAATGACTGCATTCTAGTTCAATGTTTTTGAGTAATAAGCATTTTTGTTTACTGCCTTGAATCTCTTTAAATTTCATTTTGACTGATAAATGTTAACACTATAAAAAGAGATACCAGTTTGGTATAGTGAAGTATGTCACATTAGAAAGCAAAACCAACATACAGTAACTCTTCATCCATTTAACCCCACTACCTAGGTATCTAAAGTCACTAAATACTGTAAAGGAAAGGCAGATGGCAACATGTGTCTCAGTAGGTAGCACCACAAAATATCCAATTAAGAATGCAAAATGATACTGAAATAGGTGAAATGGCATTCCCCAAGGCATTACATTTAGTTGAAAGCATAGCCACAAGCAGAAAATAGTCAGTGGGAGATGGCCAGATCCCAGTGCCTGATATTATTAATTCTGCCAATGAGGTATCATAGACTATTCCTATAGCAAAACTTGTGTCAGACAAATATAACTTTAAAACCAAAACAGCTACCAGGTGACAAATTTGATGTGGGTAATGGAATGGATAACATCAAGGAACAGTAGATTATTGACCTTGGAAGGACATAACTTGCTGTTGGGATGGCATGCCTTCCTCTGGTATAAGGGAAGCAAAACACAGGGGCATTTTAGAAGACATTATATTCGAGAGGCATTGTTTTTAAATTGGAAGAAGATAAAAAAGCAATATTACTTAAAAATTCCATTATGGTTATCTACTATCAAAGCTTTTTCTTATCCAATAACATATAAAAAGAACAGTTAGATATGGTGAGATAGTGAATGAAAAGGGTGAACTGAAATTTATGCAAGCACCGGAAGAACAAGGTATAAAAATGAATTGGTTTTCATATGTACAAATACAATCTAGATTTGATAAAGATCTTAAAACAGAAGGTTTCTATGATAAGTTGACTGATCTAGATAAAATTTTAACAGGTACTGATGAACGGGTAATTAAAAAACTCTATGGACAATTATTAGAATTTAAATTAGAGGAAGAACAAGTCAAAGAAATGATGATTGCTTGGGGGAAAAAAATTGGATATGGAATTGATTTAGAGAAATGGCAAAAATTGTGGTCTCAAAACTATAAAATGACAATGTCAACTGCTTATAAAGAAAATTTGTATGCTTTGCAGGTGGCATTTACCCCCGACGAGAATTGCGAGAATGCTTAAGAACAAATCAGATAAATGTTGGAAATGTCATCAGATACCTGGTTAATATTACCATATGTGGTGGACGTGTCTGGATGCAAAAAGATATTGGACTAAAATCCACACATCCTTGGAAAAAATGATAAAACAACACATGGACTTTAAACCAGAGATATTTTTTACTGGAAATATATTTTACTGGAAATATACAATAAAGAATTGAAATATTTGATTGTAAATGTTTTAACAGCGGCTAGAATTGTATTTGCTAAGAATTGGAAAAATGAAAAACTACCTATGCAGGAGGAAGTTATTAAGAAAATTATGGACTGTGCTGAAATGAGTAAATTGACATTTGAAATTAGAGATGAAAATAAACAATTTTATATGATATGGGACTTATGTTTTCAATGGTTAGATAAAAAGACATGGTAATGAAATAGACTAGGACATTTTATAATAGAAGACTAATAGATTGATATAGAACATAATATAAAAAATATATAACCATTGGACGAATGCATAATATAAATGTATAATAAAATCTAGAATATCTTGTATAAAATGATGGAATAATAGTTTAGCCAAAGGAATGATTAATAACTGATAAATATATATAAGCATATGTTAGGTTGACAATGTGAGAATCTATACAACCTATGAGTAAGGACTATGAAAGGATAGCACAAAAGATTTGGAACCAACTGACACACTGTAGGTAGGTATATAACTGGAAGATGGTTTTATGTTTTTTATGTTTAGTCTGTATACGTTTGTCTTAAAAAATAAAAAAAATTATTTAAAAAAAAAACCCAAAACAGCTGAAGATTATGTAAATTCCTGCTACAACTAGAGGGCAAGTCTCCTAAAAACAGTTACCAGAATGTCTTCATATTGGAAATACCGAGCAGTGAGGATAAACCTTGACAATGAAATCTAGATGTTTACTCAGAATTCCTATCAAATAAAGTCTGGATAAAATGTATAGTCATTACTGATTCTCTTTATGAATGTGTGGCAAAGTGGGGTAAAGAGAGAAGAAAATTTCTAGAGAATCAAATGAGTGAGTGGGTGAAACACTATTGAATCAATGTATACACCAGTATATTCATTATTTATGAAGTGTGAAGGAATAGGAAATGTTGGATTAACATATTTTCAATATACAGCATAAAACATCTTTCAACGTCTTATTTTATTGCCACTAATCAGAAAGGAATGTTGAATTTGAATGTTTTATTATACACATATTTTAATATGACTTCAAAATATATCCTTTATTTTATTCTTAATTTTTAATTGATGTGCTGTTGCTCTGATCCGCTTCTGTCAATTTTCTGTTTGGATTTTCTTTTCTGATTTCAGGAAAGTAGAAGAGGGTTTATATCATAAGAATTGAAATAAAAATGGACCATCAAACCTATCCTATTCATGGAGTTTGGAATCCTTGAGTTTATACTATTCAAATGAAAGAGTTTTACTATTGTTGATTAGTTTGTTAGAAAGTTAATGAAAAATCAAAATGACACTAATGATAAAGGACTAACAATAAGCATCTAACAACACCATTTTTCTCTTACACTTTGTCTTTTTAACAGACAACCATTTGTAATATATTCTTCCTTAACTCTGCCCTTATCCCCAGATTGTATAGTCATACACTGTAACCACATAACAATTTAATCAAAAGTACTTTTATAGTGTAATCTTATATACTCGGAAACAATAGCCGAATCTTTTTGTTTTATCCAAAATATACATGTATTGTACTCTTCCAATGAATTCAATTCAGTTAGATCCATATTTTGGGATATTGCATTAAGTGAGAATGAAATAGGATTGGATTCAAATACTCACCATGAGAGAATTCACAGTTCTGAAACCAAACAAGTTTAAAAATTGTTCATGCCAAAATCATGTCTAAATGTAATTTTCTGAATGTAATGTATATGATAGTCATTTAAAGCAGGGGCCTCCAACCTTGGTCTCTTTAAGACTTGTGGACTTCAACTCCCAGAATTCCTCAACCAGCATATCTGGCTGAGGAATTCTGGGAGTTGAAATCCACAAGTCTTAAAGTGGCGAAAGTTGGAGACCCCTGATTTAAACCATTTTATACTTTAAAATGTACTCAAGCCTACTAATTGGAAAAAAAGTCAAATTAATTAAACTTTAAAATAAAGTTAGTGACCAGTCATGAACAACTACCAGAAGCCAAACTTGTAAAATTGTTTCTTGTCATCCTCTGCAACACCCAAGAATGCACCTTATTTTATTACCATTTTTTTGTATTATTGTGGGTGAATTTGGACTGGAGGTACTTTCAAATGAAACAAGAGCTTGCGGAAACTTATTTTTATTTTTAAATCATATCTATGGGGCTGAGAAATGCTCTATGCCAGGGGTGTCAAACTGGATTTCCAGGGCTGGATCAGCATTTTAGTTCTTGCTGAGAGGGGGAGGGACAGACGAGGCGTCCCCCATGCCTCGTTTTCAGCCTGGACGGCTTCCTGCAGCACCCTGCCAGCCAACATGGGGTGGGGGGGCACAGCCCCCCCTGTGCCCCATTTTGGCTGCCAGAGGCACCAAAGGCAGGTCCTTTGCTATTTCCAGACGGGGGGGGGGGGGGGCAGATTTAAGCACTGTGGGCCGGATGCAACTGGATGCCTTGAGTTTGACTCTAGCCAATGAAAGGTATGCCACATAGTATGTGGCAGGCATGTCATCTTCTAACTTATTTATTTATAATTACAATGTTTTAAAAAGTAAAAGTCAATTGGAAAAGGGAGGCCCCCTAGGCTCTGCTTCAAGTGTATCCGAGGACACTGGTGCTCCAGGACAGCCCATGGCTAACTTTGTTGGCATTAAAAAAAATATGTAACAGGTTCACAAGGAGAATGTGCAAATGTGATATTTTTTTACTTCGGATTTTTTCTGATTGTTAAACACTGAGCTATGATAAAGACGTATCATCTTCCTTTTATCTTTTTCCATGCTAACCCAAGCACTTAAAGAATTTGGATGAGAATGATTGGAATGGCGATGTAGATCAGCCCGCTTTATATACTGGAAGGCTTTTTTCTCTTAACTTCTCTCACGCTTAACATCCACTACTACCAAGTAGGAAAAACATAACCATGTCTGACCAAATCCAAGAAAATCGGAGAGCCAGAACCCATTCCAGGGATCCAGCGGATACCGCCAACGTAGCCCAGGCAGTGAACTTGCAAGCTCCTCGAGCCTGGAGGATCGAAGGAACCCCAAGGATCCGTTATCCGAGTAGGTAGGTTGGTCATGCGAAGCCTTACGTGCGCAACAAGTCCGGATGAGGACACTTCGCGCGTGCCTCAAGCGCAAACTCCCGGAACAACCGCGGGCTTACACAGCGGTGAGGGAAAAAAACACGCTCGGAGACTTGAGAAACGTGCCGGAGACTAATATCCCGGGGAAGCGAGTCGGCTCCAGGCGGCGGGGCCTGCCCGAAGCGCAGCAGCCCGACTTCTTCACCTCGCTCCGTTTCCACCCACCCCTCTCTTCAAGAGGGCGGAGAGAGCCGGGGTGGGTGGGTGGAGGCGGGCAAGCGGGGACTGGAGCCCCTCCCTGATTCAATCGGGAACCTCCAGGCCGAGGGTTCCGCCTTTCCCTCCGCCCTTTCCCGGTGGCTGCTGCCGCTGCTCCCGCCGTCCGCCTGGGTCGTTCCTGTGGCGGCGGTCGCAGCAGGCAGCATGGCGGCGGTGGAAGCCCGGGTGTGCGAGACGGCGGGCTGCAGCAGCGAGGCCAAGCTGCAGTGCCCCACCTGCATCAAGCTGGGCATCCAGGGATCCTACTTCTGCTCGCAGGTAAAGCGCCGCTGCTCGGGGCGCCCTTTGCCCGCCATAGGGCGGGTCGGCGGAAAAAACTGCGGCCGCAGAGGTTCCCCCGGTGGGAACTCGGTCCGAGAGGGGCCCCGGCCCACCTTACTTTCGGTTTCGACACGTGGGGTTCCGGGACAGGGGCTTGCCTGCGCCTGGAAGACATGTGGGGCGCCTGCTGCCCTAGCAAGGCAGGTGTGACTCAGGCTGGCTGGGCCCGGGCCTGTTCTCTGGCCGCCCGAGCACGTTTTGCTGGGAAGTGAGGAACTGAATTCAGAAGGACTGCATGGTGTTGCCGAGGTTTCTGCTACCAGGGTCTCTCTCCCCTTCCCCCTCTCTCTCTTTCAAGTTTGCCTGCTTCCTTTGGTTTGTTGCTAAGGGAGAAAAAAAGCAAAACTAAGGCGCTATCATTCAACCTGGGATTCGGTAGAGCGAAGGACTACAATGTCCATTCTTTCCAGTGATGTCACTTGTAATCCAACATATCCAACTCGGGTTCGGGAAGAGTAATCTAAAGCAGGGGCCACTAAATTCATAATTTAAAATCCTGCGGACCACTAGTATGATTTTTTTTAAAAAAAAAAATAGTATTATTTAGCAAATAATTTTTCTGCAGATCACCAAAATTTTCTCGTGGACCACCAGTTGGTGACCACTGATTTAAAGCCCTAAATCTTCCTTACCATTCATCCCTCTCCTTACTTCCACACCCCTTTTTAAAAAAATAGGTTTTTCTATCCTGGGGTTTACATGTCAGAAGTGGGAAAATCTAACGCAAGGGGTGATACGTTTTCTTACTCATTAATGTTAGGAATAGGCCTCATATATGCTGAAAGACAAAGCACTCAAAAGCCTGACATCTCCCCCTCCCCTTTTAAAATCGGTTCTGTCATCAAGATTCACAAGGTAGATGTTGGAGAGGAATAAAACCAAGGGCTATGTTCTTCCAGTCTGTCAACAAGTGATTGTTGTACTTTGGATATTTTAGTTTATTGCAGAGGGGATTTTTGCCAAAACTTTTCCTCTAAAAGCAGCCCACAGGCTAAGGTTTTGATATTAACTGTAATATCTGTGTCAAATTTGAAGAAAATCAGGCCTTGGCACCAGAACTATTCTAAATTTTCCAATGTCTTAGGGGACCCTGAAATACAATCATAATTAAGAGTAATTCTGAACATGGATGGCCTGCCTTGTCTTCATTTAATATCATGGCTTTGTTTCCATAGTTCAGCTTTTAAAATAAGGTGAGCCTTCTTTTTTAGAAGAAAAATCTTTCTCCCGTTTCCAAAGTTCTGACATTTGTGTCCTCCATGTGGAATATTCCTCTGAATCATCTTCAGCTTTGAATTACTCTATGGACATATCTTTGTAGTTTTACTGAAACTACTAGAGAAATGATTTGTCATTATTTTCTTCCAAAAAGGTTTTTTCAATATTTCAGCCTTGCTAAGAGTTCTTGGATGTCCTATTGGTACACCACACAGTACCACACTCATTTGAAATTAGCCAAAGTCATCTAGCTATGCTATCTGAGCTGGCCACAGAAATTTGGCGAGCAGTTATAAAGAAGTGTCCTTTTTAAACTACTGAAATGCATATTTAAATACACGGTAATATAAGTCTGATTCATTTATCCAATTTAAGAATCCTGATGTTGCTTGCAGTCGGACCTGAATTCATATTTGTTACATACTAGTAAAAAATCATAAACCATACTTTTAGTGTATAGTGCATAGTGTAAAAAAAACACATGCAATGTCCATGATGAATTTCATGAATGTGGAAACTCAGGAAAATTCGTAGTATACGGACGTAATAAATGCTTGTTTTAAATCTTACATGGTTTCTGTGGTATTCATAGAAATATATGTTTCTAGGTTTTGAAGGAAGAAGCCTTTTGCAATCTTCTTTGATGATAAATACTTTAATTGGCTTCAAGTTAAATGTGCTGGAAGTCCACAAGATTAAACTCTGCTTTTGTCAGGTTTTTAAAGTGTATGTTGTGAAAAATCCATTTGATTGGTTTTCTTAAGAAATTAATACAAGAAAGTAAGATGAAAAAAAAATTAAAAGGCAGAAACCACCTCTGTGTCTTTAACAAATTAATGTTTAAAGATGATGAGAGTTGAGAAAAAATGAAATGGGAACATCTTTGTGTTGTATTTTTGCTCTTGTTGCAAAGAGCAATAGTTTTACAAATTATGAAGAAAGTCAGGCTTGCTTTTAATAGAACTGGGTCAAGGAAAATATTTGCATAGGAAACCAGGTTGAATCAAGCATTCAGAATATGTTTTTGAAGAAAAAAAAAGATAGGGGTGGAAATGTTGCACAGATGAGGAATTCAGCTGCCTTTTACAGTGACTACTCCAGGCTCATGTAGGCTCCTGAAAAACAGGATTGTAAGAAGAAACCGTCTACATGTTGCCTTAGGGAATGTAGGATTTAGCAATGGTTGGATCTCCTCTCCGTGATTTTATTAAACGTTTGTTTTGGGCTGCATGAAAACTTTATTTTTTAATGGTAGGCTACAACCAGTAGGAGATGTGATGATGAGTTCTGTACTATCTAACAGTGCTCTCAATGTTATCATTTAGGTTCCAGGAAACTATTTTCCATTTTGAAATGCCAAAATTTATTTACTGTGCTTTTTACAAACTTATGTCAAACTCATTACAAACTTATGTCAAACTCATGTGTTGGCTACAAATGCCCATATAGTCACAACAAATATTGCCACAAAAGACTCTGTTGTTTGGAACTGAGAGATAGGTGGCAAATAAGTTTGATAATAATAATAATGAAAAGATGTGAAAGGGCTCCATGTTTCCAGTCCAAAACTAAACTAAGATATGTTTTTAAAGTGCTCTAAAACATATATTAGGCTTTAAAACATATAGTACAAATATATAAAAGCAATATTAGGCATATACAGTTATATGTCAAGAGGCTTTTGAGCTGTTTGAACTGAAGTGCAGTGAACTGTAAGGAAAACCTATTTTTCTTCTAGAGTATGGTTTATAACCTGTAGAACTGTGTTAGCCATATAAAGTTAATCTGTTTCCAAGTATTGCTAAATTTATATAATTTGCCTTTTTAGGAATGCTTTAAAGGAAGTTGGGCTACTCACAAATTGCTACACAAGAAAGCAAGTAAGCAAGTATATTATTTTGATTGTATAATATTTCCTTTACAATCTATTTTGTTGATGGTGACATCAAATCATCCTAAAATCAATCTGTAATAACTCTGGTTGTTTTTGACGTAATAAATCTGGATTTGCTGCCTGAGGTACATCATACAAGGATTCATAGAGGACTGATGGTCTTTTGTATAACACAAAAGGAAAAAAAACAGTCCATGTGTTGCACTGAATGATGGTTTGGTTAAATATAGTTTGTTGAATTTGCTCAATTGGCTGGACTAATGTACACATAGTTGATAATTCAGAGCAGCTGGATTCAAACAACACAATGGGAAATATTAATCACATGTTATGGTTTAGCATGGTATATAAATCCAATCTGGATGGATTTATACACCATGGACAGGGACAATGGTTTAAGTTATTATTTTCCTTGATTCCTTTTTTATTACTATGTAAATTTTCTTAATTTTTTGTGGAAGAACATTCATAACACGGGAAGCCAGAACTGTAGCTTGCAGTGGTACGGTCATGAAAATGATCTGACACTTTAGTCTCTTTTTAAAAATATTTCTGATTGCTTTCTAGATATTTTATGGACAATGCTTTTTACACATTAGTAGGTTTCTATGTCAGCATGGGATCCTGGGATTTAGTTGTGATCTTTCACTGCTTCAGGAATGGTGCAAGGTGTGGCATACAGGAAGTCCTCGACTTACGATCATAATTGAGCCCAAAATTTCTGTTAAGTGGGATATTTGTTAAGTGAGCTTTGCCCCATTCTCCTATGAGCTGCTCAGAGCATCCAGTAGTGGGAGGTGCTTCAGTCTCCGCATTCTTAGGCTGAGCTTGAATTGAGGAACGCTCCTCCTCCTCCATGTGACTCCTCCATAGCGTTCCCCAGTTTTTGCTCAGCCTCGTGCGAGACAGGCAGTGCTTTTCTTAGCTCCTTGGCCGAACCAGGATTGCATTTGAATTGAGTTATCTTCAGGTTTGAAAAATTTCCTCTCTCTTTAGCCTTTGCGTAATAGTACAATTCGCAAGACTATCAAAGAAAGGGGAAGCGCAGTTGCGCCCCCGAGGAAGGCAATGGGAGGCTCAGTAGCTGCCGCGCACTATCTCCCATAGCCGGATTGTTTTTCTTTACCTCTGCCTTTTTTGTTTGCCGCTTTTTTGTTTCGTTTGCATTAGCGGCTTGTGTTATTTCAGTTTCTGAGTCGTGTCGCTAATTCCCCCCCGCTTCGAACGCCGTTTTAACAAAGAAGGGCTTATCTCTCCCTTCCTTTGGCCTACTCTGTATTCAGAACTTCGGCTTTATTTTGCTTGGCAGGAAACCGCCGCTGAGAGGTGCGACCTCACCCATCACTGGCGGACGCCATTTTGGGTGCCACCTCGTGGCTGTGTGCCATTTTATCTCCTAATTTCTGTGCTGTGAGTGAAATTAAACTTGAAGCAGCAGGATCACGCCTGGTTTTTCAGAGTTATTTAACCTCGTTTTTGGCTAGATTGCACTTGAGGTTATTTCCTTCTCATTAAGGCTTGTTGGCTTTACCCTCACAGCCTAATCCTCAGCGGCACAGCAGCAAGCACCGAGGCCTTGTCAGCCTGTGCAGACACGCTGCTGGAGGCCCCAATTTTTTCCTTCCAACTGGGCCTCAGGCGCTTCGAAATTTGGCTGATTGGTTTGTCTGTTCTTTCGTTTAATCGAGCTTATATAGATTCCCTTGAACTAAGTATAATAATACAACAGCTGTACAAGCGTAATAATAATATCATATTACTTGGCAGTATAATATTTTAACCAACTAAAATATTATCACTGAGATACAACCCATTCTATATTCATATTCATATTCGCACACACACACACACACACACACACATATATATATATGTATATATCCCTATAGTTTTATTAAAAAAGGGGGGGGAGTGAAATACCTTATCAGGGCAACCGTTCTTGACTCAGATCGGACCCTGGACGTGCCAACCGCCTTATCTTGATTCTTAGCCTTATTACTGCAGTATACAAGTTAACAAAATGGCAGATGGTAACACCTCTCAGGGCCCTTCCTTGAAGGCAAAAGCCAAGACTCATCATACGCGCAAGCAGGCTAAAGAGACCTCCAAGGCCGCACAAAGGGGCCTTAAGGCGCCATAAGGCCCTGCAAAAGGAAATTGATAAGTGCACCAAGGAAGCACTCAAGGTGCCGCAGGGCTTACCATCCTCCAGCCCGTCTACCTCTGTTCACCCCCCTCCTCCTCTAGATCTCTCCCTCTCCTCCAGGTGCAGCTTGCCCTCGCAGGGACAACAGATCCAGGTTCCTGGGACACCGGCTAGAAGGGCCCCAGAAGCCACCTTCACCCCAACAGCCGCCAGCCTCCGTCAAGATGATAACCTAATTGAGGAGGTCCCTGAAAGAGTAAGAGCCTGGATGGAGCTGGCTATTTGCCAGGGGATCGCGGCCGGACTCCAACAAGCAATGCCCAGGCATTACCCGGTGATCTCTGACCAAGAGTCACAATCACTGAGATACCTGCCCAGGTTGGACGACCACCAGGCTCAGGTATATGTGCAGAGGGAGACCCCCTTTCAAGGGTGGGAGGAAGAGGAGGAGGAGGAGGAGGAAGTGGACCAGTTCATGCAAGCAGATGAGTTCGAATTGGGGTCCATACAGGATAGTGAGCCCCTATCAGAGGCAGACCCCTTAGAGGGAGAAATGTCTGAGGACGAGGGGCTTATTCCCGACCAGCACGTTTTTACGGGTTTATTCAGGCCACAGCTCTTCAAATCCTTGCTGTTTAAGGCCAAGAACATAGCAGGCCTCATCATCCGACACACCCGCCTTACTGGATTTGTCAAAGTTGTTGGGAAAAATGATATCATGTATTTCTATTATTCCTTGGGCCCGCCTCCACACTAGATCCCTCCAGTGGTTCCTGCTACCATACCAGAGATCCGGCAGAAGCAACTCCAAACACATGGTCAGGGTACCTCCCAAGGTCCTCATATCCCTCCTCTGGTGGTCCAAACCGGTCATCAACAAAGGCTGCTTCTTCAAGGAGCCCCAAAGGCTCACTGTCACCACAGACACCAGCCTCTTTGGATGGGGCGCTCACGTCCACTCGCTCTCAGCCCAGGGCAGATGGTCTGCAGTAGAACAGTCCTGCAGCATAAACTGCTGGAACTTCGCGCAGTACACTTGGCCCTCTGCAGCTTCCTCCCCCAGGTACGCGGTCAGCACATACTGATTCTGACGGACAACGTGACAGCCAAAGCGCACATAAACAAACAAGGGGGTACACAGTCCATACAACTAATGAGGGAAGCGGAACACCTGTGTCGCTGGGCGGAGAACAATCTACTCTCCATCAAAGCAGAACACATTTCAGGCCTGTCAAACACACAGGCAGACTGGCTAAGCAGGGCCACCATAGATCATTCAGAGTGGCGCCTCCACCCATCCCTGTTCCAGGAAGCAGCAAGGGCATTTGGGCAACCGGTAGTGGACCTATTTGTTTCCCCCCTCAATACCCAGCTCCCGAGATTCTTCTTAAGGTACCCATCCCAAGGGGCGGAGAATTACAACGCGCTCCGTTGTCAATGGCCCCCGGGGCTCCTGTATGCTTTCCCTCCACTAGCGCTGGTTCCCAGGGTCATCCAGAAGTTACTCGACGAGAGAGCGGAATTTCTCCTAGTGGCACCTCGGCCATGGTTTGCAGACCTTCGCTGCCTCTCGATAGCCCCACCCTGGAGAACCCCGCCAGACAGGATCTCACTATCTCAGGGGCCCCTCCTACATCCGGACCCCCAATGGTTTCAATTGACCGTCTGGAGGTTGAGCGGAGTGGTTTGAAGAGAGAAAAACTCTCCGATAAGGTCATCAACACTATTCTAGCTGCCAGGCGCCCCTCAACCACTCGGATTTACAGCGCCACATGTTCCATTTTCTGCAAATGGTGCAGTAGATCTCAAGCTAATCCGGTTTCCCCATCTGTTGCTCAAATTTTAGAGTTCCTACAGGAGGGACTCGATAAGGGGTTGCCCCCCCCAATACGCTGAAAAGACAGGTAGCTGCCTTGACATCAGTTCTCGCTTGCGAGGGCCTCAGTTCTCTCTCACATCACCCACGCATAAAGTCCTTCCTCAGGGGGGGCCACCAATCTACGTCCCCCAACAGTTCACCGTTATCCCACCTGGGACCTTAACAAGGTCCTTGTCTCCCTCACCAAAGAGCCTTTCGAACCCTTGAGGAAGTCAGGTCTTCAATTCCTAACATACAAGGTCGTTTTTCTTTTCTTTTTTTAAACAAATTTTATTAATTTTTAAAAACAATACACAAACAAACAAAACGTAGAATATAATAACATAAGGCATCTTTTCTGAAAAACAAATAAAACATCTTATTTAAAGACAGGATAATTCCAAATTATCACATTTCCATACAAGCACAATTTAATATGTATATTTATCTTATCTGTTCAACTTCATATCTTTTCCCAACTTCTCTTTATTTCTAACTTTCCTTCTATTCAATTATATTTCTTTTGCCTTAGATTGTATATATTCATTGTATCCATCTGTCTTATTTACAATTTCGTTATTCTCTTCCAACATTCTTCTAGCGTTTTATTAATTCAAACATAGACACACAAAACATAAATACATAAAATTTATTTTTGGAAAGCGGCTTACCCTGGGTTACATCTTTTTGTACAGACATAAATCAAATTCATGCTCACTTAATATACTATTTCATATCTTATTTAACATTCTATATTTTCTATATATTTTCTCTCTTCTATTCACTCTCTTAATTCTATTTTATTTATTTCATCTCAGTTTAAATAATTATACTTGCATCTTTTGTCTGTTCTCTTTCAATTATCTATTTATCTTTTCTTTCTTACGGTTTGCAAGGCTTCGGCGGCAGCAGGAATCCACGATCGTGCGCTCGCCGCCGAAGTGCCTCCGATCCAGCTGGATCTGGAGGATATGGTTGCCCCGTAGAGGCAACCAAAGATAGAGGAGATCTGGGGCTTGGGGGTATTGCAAACCCCCTCCTCAGCCGGCTAAACTCCTTTTACCCGGCGGTGGAGCGGCGGTCAGCAATGGCCGCCACAAAGAAGCCTGCAGCCGGGTAAGATTGTGCAGGAGGAAGTCGGAGAAAGTGAAAGTTTTTGGCTGAACCGGGACAAGGAACCTTTAAACACCTTGGAAATTTAATCACTTGAATGATACATTGTTTCCCAATAAGACTGTAAAAGCGGCGGAAGAAAATTTGAAAGGAAAAGTTATTTTCTCTCACTCTCCCTCCCCACGGAAATTGCAGATGGAAATCTGAAAAACCTGCTTGGGCACAGAAGGTAACTAAACTTGAAATTTAAAGCCAAGGGGATAAAAGATTTCTGAACATTGGAATTAAAAACTAATTTTTTTTTGCTATAAGTGGGAGGGAAGAGGTAAAGAACTTATTTTAAGATTGTACTGAAGGAGACTGCTTGGAATTTATAAGACCAGAAATAAATGGCAATAAGACTTCTAAAAAATTACTTTGGAACTGTGTAATTGAATTCTACCCCAGGAAGAGAAAATATAAAAAGAAGAAAGTGCTAAATGAAACAGTTTGTTCTGATTTGGATTGCTTTGTGACTTTGGGATTTTTGGGAACTATTTCTTGAAAGATTAAAAACATTTGGGTTGTTCTTTAAAAAAAATGGCATTATCTGTTGAAGAATTGCAAATGGAATTTCAAAAGCTAAAAGAAGAGGAACAAGAAGGCAAGGGCTCTCCTGGATCTATTTTTCATTTTTTAGAAATGGCGATTTCTACCTACCAAGAAATACAACAACAAGAAGGCTGGGATGAAGAAGAAGAAGCCATCTTTAATGGACAAATAATCTTAGTTGAGGAAGAAAAGAGAAAGGGGGGAAAGAAAACGGAGAACTCAGAACTTAAAAAAGCAACCAAGAAAGGGAAAAATAAGATGAAAAATCGATACAATGTCAGAAAGCAACAGAAAAGAGAAATACAACAGAGAGGGAAGATTAAGAGAGTGGAGTTTGAGAGATGGGGGGGGCAAAGAGGCTAGAATTGATAAGGAAGGGAAAAAGGAAAGAGAAGTCATAAAGGTTTAAAACAAGATGTTAAAAAACAGGTTTTTTTCAGAGACAAAGGGTAAAATATAATTTTAAAAAATGATTCTGCAAAAGTACATAAGACTGTATTGTAGATATTAGTATTTGAAATCGAGTTAGAAAACTGAAATATTATATGAGTTAATAATGCATTAAAGGGAATGTATAAAAATGTTTAAGATTTAACAATAGAGTTTAACTTCCTATGGAATATTGTTTTTACTATATTATAAACTTAATTCTCTTTTTTTGTTTTATTATTCTAAAATGTAGTACTTAGAATGTACTAAGCAGAATCAGTATGGAAAGTATGTATTATTTTAAGTGTTAAATTTAGGGGAAAGATAAAAAGTTGTCATACTTCAACCAATGATTACAGGAGAAATATTGTATTAGAAAGAAGGTCGTTTTTCTTGTAGCGATCACTTCTGCTCGTCGCATATCGGAAATCGCAGCCTTGTCTGTCAGACAAGACCTCTGCGTTTTTCATGCAGATCGAGTGGTCCTTCGTCCTGATCCCACATTTATGCCCAAAGTCAGTTCGGCTTTCCATAGAGCACAAGAGCTCATCCTTCCAAATTTTTGTCCTATGCCGTCACATGCAACGGAAAGACAATGGCACAAGCTTGATGTAAGGCGCGCTCTGCGAATCTATATCAAGCGTACTGAGTCCTTCAGAAAATCGGAGGCCTTATTTGTTTCCTTTCAGCCCAATTCACAAGGTCACAAGGTATCACCATCCAAAATAGGCCATTGGATAAGGGTGGCAATAGCTAAGTCATATCAGTCTCAAGCTCTGCAGGTGTCCAGGGGCATCACTGCTCATTCTACTAGGAGTGCAGCAACTTCAGCAGCTTGGGCCACTCAGGCCCCAATAACTGAAATCTGTTGGGCGGCGACTTGGGCTTCCCCTTCCCCTTTCATTAGACATTATAAAATCGATGTGTTTGCCTCTGTGGAGGCCTCATTCAGCAGAAGGGTCCTGCAACGGGTTCACAGGGACCCTGAGGAGATTCCGGACCAGACGGATTCCCTCCCGTAGGACAGGCCAAGCTTTGGTATGTCCCACTACTGGATGCTCTGAGCAGCTCATAGGAGAAGGGGCGTTGGTACTTACCTGATACGCCCGTTCTCTTTGAGCTGCGAAGAGCATCCAGCCCCACCCTTTTTTCCGTCTGGTGGGGTCTTGTTTCGGCCAATGAACTTTTTAAGTTGTGAGGATGAGGGCACCTTTTTTCCTCTCGTCTTCGCCGAAACTGGGGAACGCTATGGAGGAGTCACATGGAGGAGGAGGAGCGTTCCTCAATTCAAGCTCAGCCTAAGAATGCGGAGACTGAAGCACCTCCCACTACTGGATGCTCTTCGCAGCTCAGAGAACGGGCGTATCAGGTAAGTACCAACGCCCCTTTTACGACCTCTCTTGCCACAATTGTTAAGTGAATCACTGCAGTTGTTAAGTTAGTAACATAGTTATTAAGTGAATCTGGCTTCCTGATGGACTTTGCTTGTCAGAAGATCACAAAAGGTGATCACATGATCTTGAGACACAGCAAAGACATAAGTATGAGTCAGTTGCCAAGTATCCGAATTTTGATCACATGACCATGGACATGCTAACATAGGTGGCAAGTGTGAAAAACTATGTTAAGTCACTTTTTTCAGCCCTGTTATAACTTTGAACAGTCACTAAATGAACAGTTTTAAGCCGAGGACTACCTGTATTTAAAAATGAGCTCAGGGAGAGACAGAGGAACTGAAAAATAAAAACACAGTATCATTGCAACAGTAGAGCTTTGACAGTGAATCTGTAGCAAATGGGCAGAACAAGACTAGGCCAGTGCTTTAATCCTGACTTGGATTTATGTCTTTTTTAATAGCTTTTTTATATATTGCTCCCAAAATAAGCCCTAATTAAGCTCCTGCCCACTCCAAAGCGCACGGGTAACAATTAAGCTAGGGTGGGGATGGGGGGTGGGGTGGAGGTGCCCCACAACTTACCTTTGGACAGTTGTAGCCAGGCCTCACACACTCTGACACCTGCCTTGCCAGCCTATTTCTTCTGTAGCTGCCAAGGCTTTCCTGAAGGCCGCTGTAGCTGATAACAAAGCTCCGGATCAATCCGGAGCTCTGTTAAGACATTCCTGAAGGCCTCTGACTGCGAAAAGGGGGCCAGGAGGGTGACACGAACAAGGGAGGTTAGTCAGTGGATAACATCCCCTGAAAATAAGACCTGGTGCCTTTTTTGGTGGCAAATATACATACATACATACATACATACATACATACATACATACATACATACATA